GCTGGAAGTTGATCTGTGGCTCAAGTGGTAGAGCAATTAACTTGGAGTGAAAAAGCTAAGGGCCAGGGGCTGGGAATGTGACCTAGTGGTAGAGTGCTTGCCTAGCATGCATGAAATCCTGGGTTTGATTCCTCAGTACTTTCACATAAACAGAAAAAGCTGGAAGTGGTGTTGTGGCTCATGTAGTAGAGTGTTAACCTTGAGCAAAAGGACAAGCCCAGGGACAGGGCCCTGAGTTAAAGCCCCATGACAGGCAAAAAAAAAAAAAAAAAGGGCTGGGAAGTTGGCTCAGTGGTAGAGCGCTTGCCTTGCATGCCTGAGGCTCTGGGTTCGATTCCTCAGCACCACATAAGCAAAAAGAAAAACGCCAGAAATGGTGCTGTGGCTCAAGTAGTAGAGTGCTAGCCTTGAGCTGAAGAGCTGAGGGACAGCACTCAGGCCCAGAGTTCAGGCCTCACGACTGGACCCAAAAAGAAAAAAAGAAGAGACAGTGCTCAGGTCATGAGTTCAAGCATTAATGGTGGTGTGTGCATGCATGCACACACACATACACAATTGCTAGTAATGCTATATTTTCCATTGAACACATGAAGTACTGATTTACACCAGGGTCTTAATTGCTTTCAGGTTTTCCCTCCTAGTCATTTACATGGGAAGAAGAGTATGGCTATAGGAAGATAACACCAATCTCATTTAAATCTAATCAACAGGTACTAGTCTGGAGGTAGGCCTTGAGGAGGGCAGGGGTCAGGGTGATGGATACACCTACAAGTTAAAGGACAACAAAGAATGTCAGCCAACCAGTAGCAACACCGCGAGGCCTGGGACAGACCTTGCCTCACGCCCCAAAAGAACCAGTCTTGCTGACACAGGGGTTGAGACAATGTCCGTATCTGTTGTTTGAACCCACAAGAAACCCAAACAAATGCTTCCAGGTGCCAGGTAGGTGGTTAAAATAGAGCATGCATGGTCTCTAGGTGTACATATTGAGAACGTTCTAGAATGACCTAAGATTCACCATTGCACACAGAGTCAACAGGCCTGCAGAAAGGCAGAGGCTCATCCCCAGCAAGGGGAACCTTTGAAGGCAAGGGGTACAGCCAAGGCCACCTCACACCTCCCGGAGCTGTCACACTGCCACAGAGGCAGAAACCCAGGCAAAGCCCACAGTCTAGCACCTAGCTGGAATCCTGCAGGGCAAGTCTGCTCCCCTGATCTCCATATGGGGCCAACAGCACCCCAAATACCTGGCATGGTTAACCTAGAAACAGCAACTAGGAAACTTTCAGAATGGAAGCCACACCCTAGGCCAAACCAGATGCTGAGAATGTGCCTAGCAGATACCTCCTTTCCCTCTTTCCCCCCTTTCCCCCCCCCACACTGCAGACAGGAAGGCCTGGAAAAAAAAGGAAAGAGCTCAAGGTCAGCAGACCCTGCAGCAATGGAGCTGAAACACCTCTCGAAGGAAGCTTCAGAGAAGGATGAGGTGGCCTACTACAAGCAATTCATCATGCCGGGTGATGCTAGCTCACACCTGTCATACACCCAGGAGGCTGAGAGCTGAGGATCTCTGTTCAAAGCCAGTCCAAGCAGAAAAGCCTGAGAGACTCCTCTCTCCAATCAACCAACAGAAAGCTGGAAGTGAAGGCATGCATGGCTCAAGTAGTAGAGCTCTGGCATTGAATGAAAAAGCTAAGTGAGGGGCTGGGAAGGTGGCACAGTGGTAGAGCGCTTGCCTTGCATGCGTGAGGCCTGGGTTCCATTCCTCAGCACCACATAAGCAAAAAGGAAAAAAGCCGGAAGTGGCGCTGTGGCTCAAGTGGTAGAGTGCTAGCCTTGAGCTGAAGAGCTGAGGGACAGCGCCCAGGCCCAGAGTTCAGGCCCCATGACCGGACCCAAAAAAAAAAAAAGCTAAGTGAGAGTGCCCGGGCCCTGAGTTCAGGCACCAGTGTTGGCATTCACACACGTGTGCATGTGTGTGTGCATGTGCACACACACAACAGAGTGATTAAGTAGCCTTCTGGTAGCCTCAACTCCAGGACAGGAGACTGGGGGTAGGAGAGGAGAAAAACAGTTCGTTTCACCTGTGACACAGCCTTGGTCATCTCCATCATCTTAGCCCAGACCGGCGGCCAGCTGGGCATTGCTGGCAGCTGGCAGCAGCTGGTTAACGGGACCTGGGGGTGGGGTGGGAGTGGGGAGTCCGAGAAAGCCTCGGGGCTGCTTCCCCTCCCACAGATACTGGAGCTGGGAGGAGAAGCTGGGCAGGGCAGGGGTGGGCAGGGCGCGGCGGCGCGACCCGGGGGAGGGCCGGGCCCTGCGGCTCAGCGCGGTGGGAATCGGGCTGACCCTGGGCGGCTCGAGGCTCCAGCTCCCGGTGTCGGGCGCAGAGCCGTCTGCTGCTTCCATCCCGCCCTGTCGCCGGGGCTAAGGACGCGGGGGGGGGGGGGGGGGGGGGCTGAGCTTCTGAAGACTGAAAGGGACAAAGGTCTGGAAAAGGCACCCCGACGGGGGAGATGAATGACAAGAAAGGCGGGGGGGGGGGGGCAGAGGCCTGGAGAGGAGGGGGGGCGAGGCCCCGAAGGACAGAGCAGCCATTGTGCTGGCTGGAACCGGCTGGAACCGGGGCGGAGGGCTCTACCCTTCACCCCCCCCCGCCCCCCGCCCGCTGGGGCCTTCCCGAGCGTCTGGAGGGCCCTGGGGCCTCGGGAGGCCACGGGGTGCCCAGCTCACCGGCTGCCCCTCCGCCCTTTGCCAGCTGGGTTTCCAGGCAGCGCTGCCCGCCCCCCCCCCCCCGCCCCTGCAGACTCCGGGGCTCCAGCCCGGGGCGCAGAGACATGGGAGGCCCGGCCCGGCTTTATGAACATGAATGAACTCACGCGCGACCAGATTTCCCTCTTCCCCGTGCCTGCCTCAGTTTCCCCTCTGCAGCAGGAGCACGGGGCGGGCTCCCCGGGGCCTCCTGATGGAAAAGTCCTCCCGAGTAAGGGCGCAAAAAAGGAGGGGCGTCCGTGCTGAGATGTGGAGGTGCAGGATCTCCTGGGCGCCCCAAGTCCAGACCGGGATCCCAACCATGCCTGGAGGAGAGCGAATGGAAAGAGTCCCCCCCGCCCCGCGGCGCGCGCCTGCGGCACTGCGGCTGCGGCGCTGCCCGCCCCGCGCCCGCCCCGCGCACCACCGGGATCCTGAGGTGTGGCGGGGGGGGGGGGGGTCAGAGCCAGGCCTCCGCGGACGCGCGCGGCGTGGACAGCCCCCGCCCTGTGCAGCTGTAGTTCCAGCTCTCCGGGAGTTTCTCCACCCGGCAGCGCGGCCGCTGAGTCACCTCGGATCGCGCGCGGGGCGCTCGGGACCTCGTCCCATCCGGGGATCGCCAGCCCCAGCCGGCGCCTCTCACCCCGCTCGGGACCCCCCTCCCCCGCCAAGTGGTAGCTAACGGGGCGTGGGGGGGGCGGGCTTCGGGGGAGAGAAGACACCCCGAGGCCGGCCCGGCGTCGCGCCCGCCTCTTCTGGACTTGGAGAGAGGTGCGGGGTCGGGGCCCCGCGGGGCGCGCGCCCCCCGCCGCCGGGTCCCGGGCCGCGCCAGCTGCAGGCAGGAGCGAGATTTCTTAGTTAAATCGATGTCTTAAACACTCGGGCCCCACCAGGTCGGCTCACGCGTTGGGTCTTCGCCGACCCCTCCCTCCCACCCTCCGCCAATAACCTTCCAGGAACTTCGCTCGAGGAGGCCACGGACACGCTCGGGTCCCCGGTGCGGTCAGGCGCACCCGCCCGCGAGCACCTTTGCATCCCCGGTGCCGCGGAGCCCGCGCGAGGGGCGGGGGGCGGCGGGGCCACGCCCCCCATGCCGGCCTCCCTAAGCCCGGCCCGGAGCCCTCGGCCTGTCCACACCGCCGCTCTCCTCGCCAGCGAGCGGGGAGCGGGAGCTCGGCATCCCCGGCTGCGGGCGGCTTCGCGGGCCCAGGGAGCCTCGTGAGCGTCCCCTCGGGGGAAGAGGCTCAACTTTTGCGGTTGCTGAACCGGGCTCCGGGCTCCGGGCTCCGACAGCGTGCCTCGGTTTCGCCCCCAGCCGATCCAACCCCGTCCGGGACGGCGGGTCAGGTTGCCTCCGGCCGGGTGCCGGGTGGCCCGGCGAGCTGAAACCAACCCTCTCCGCGAGGGCAGGGGAAGAGAAAAAGGGGAGCCCGTGCGTGGCAGGTGAGACATCCCAACCTGGAGAGGGGCTCCGGGACAGGCGGGGTCCGGGGTCTCTAATTCTGGTCCAGCGGGGGCAGGAGGGCGCGAACGGGATCCTCCATGGGCTCCCGAGCGCGCGCGCCCGACGCCCGCTCAGAACCTCGGGCACGGGGCCGAGTTCTCCGAGTCCGGAAACGCGGGCCTGGGCCGCGCGCTCGCCTTGGCGCGCCGCTCGTGGCCGGGTCCGGGACTGCGCGCCCCCGCGGCCGCCGTCCGAGCCGCTCTCGCAGCCCGGCCTCCGCGCGGCGGGCACGCGCGCGTCCCGGGACCCAGCGCAGCGCCTCCGCGTGGCCGTGGGCGCCGACCGTGCTGGGGCGGGGGGGGGGGGGGGAGCCAGAGGCTCCGGGGAGGAGGGGTGCACGGGTCGGTGCCGGGGTCGGGATCACGCGGAGCGCCGGTTCTGCCCAGAAATCGCGGGGCGAGCGGCGCCACGCGGTGAAGTTGAGCAAAAGAAAAAAGTTTGAACCCGAGGGGAGCGGGCCCCGGGCGGGGGTCCGCGCCATCGCGGGGCCGAGCCTGGGGTCAGCTGCGCCCCTCCCCGCAGGCCGCCCTCGAATGGCGCCGGCGCCTCCCCCAGCGAGCCAGCCCCACTGGGTAGGGCCGCCGCCCTGCCCTCGCGCTGCGCAGGGAACTGGGCCACGCACGCTTGGGCAGGGCCGGCGGCGGCTGTCGAGCCAGCTTCGGCTCGGCTCAGTCCCTGCGCCCGGCGGCAGCGCGGGCGGCGCGCGGGCGACCCCGGCCCTCGGCAGGGAACTCGGCGATCGCGCGGGTCCGGGTCCCGGGCGCGGATCGGTGCCTGGCGGTGTCGGCTCTGGCATTTTTGCGCAACTGGATGCTGCTCCTTCCTCCTCCGGCGGCGGCGGCGCCGGGTGAGGCGCGGGGAGGTCGGAGGGAGAGCCTCGGGGCTCTGACTCAGCCGTCGGGCCGGAACTCGGGGGCCCGAAGGAGGAAAGCCCCCCTTCGGGAAGGCACGCGCGGGGCGGGGTCAGGCCCTCGGGGGCATCACAACTCGCTTTTCTCCTTTTTATTCCTTCGGGGAAAACCTACGTCCCCGGCCCACCAGCTTTGGAGAACTCCCCGGCTCGAGGTCCCGGGATCGGCCCCTGGAGCCGTGGCCCGCGTCCCGGCCGCGGCCAGCGCTGTCTCTCCCCCTCCCTCAGATCTGGCCGCCGCCAGGAATGACGCGGGTGCCCCCACGGCCCCGGCTTCGGGTGGGGAGGGCGAGCCCCCGCGCCAGCCCCGCGACGCCCTCCTGGGCTGCACCGATAAGGAGCGCAAGGCAGGAACCGCGGACGCCCAGAGCGGCGCTGGAACGGCGCGGAGAGACCTCCGGCGACCGGAGCCGCGGGGCCGGGCCATGGACTCAGGTGTGTGTGGGGCCTGATTGGGCAGGGCTGCAGGGGATTTCCCCCCCCCCCTCCCAGAAAGGACGAGGCCAGTGAGAAGGCTGGAGAGAAACCCTGAGACGTCAGACGCCGATCCGCCCCCAAACCAGGGGAAGAGGCGGGGGGGGGGGGCGCAGCGCCCCACCCGCGCCGCCTCCCCGCGGGGCGCCCTCCCCCCTCGGGCCGTGCTCTGCGGGGTCAGTTCCCAGAATATGGCTGGCGAGAGTCGCGGGACCCCAGCGCCCCCCGCCGCTCTCTCCCGCCCCCCGGTGGCCGGCGGAGGACCCGACCGTCTAGGGTTTGCTTTCCAGCCGGCGCCCCCCGGGGCCTGCTGCCCAGGCCCTGCCGCGTGCTGGTGCTGCTGAACCCGCGCGGAGGCAAGGGCAAGGCCCTGCAGCTCTTCCAGAGCCTCGTGGAGCCCCTGCTGGCCGAGGCCCAGGTCATCTACCAGCTGCAGCTCACCGGTGAGGCCCCGCCCCCGCCCCAGGGGATGCTGGGTGCACCCGTCCCCCTCCGGAGCAGGACCCGAGTCCCCCCCTCCCCCTTCCCCTCTTCCCCCAGAGCGGCGGAACCACGCGCGGGAGCTGGTGCAAGCGGAGGACCTGAGCCGCTGGGACGCCCTGGCTGTCATGTCCGGGGACGGCCTGATGCACGAAGTGAGGCCCTGCGCCCTTGGGTCGGTTGGTTGGCTTGTGGTAGGGGTGGATCTGGAAGTTTCTGGAGGCCAAAGCTGCCCTCTTACTCTTAACAGGTGTTGAACGGGCTCATGGACCGGCCTGACTGGGAGACGGCCATCCGCAAGCCCCTGTGTACCCTTCCTGGAGGCTCTGCCAACGCCCTGGCGGCTTCTATCAATCACTATGCTGGGTGAGAGTCCTTGGGCCAGAGTGGGCCTCAGTTTCCCCCTCCATGGCCTCAACACTCCTCCTTAGAACCTGGTCCTCCGTTCTGGGGCTCTCTCCCGGTTGGCTGCCTCCATCTGCTGTCACTGCCCCACTGGCTCCCTGGGGACCACCACGCAATACTTTGCTTGACTCCGACCCCTCCCCCCCAAAAAGCAAGAGGATGAGGCATGGCGGCCCCTGCCCTGCCGCATCTGACTTTCTCCTCTGCAGCTTCGAGCAGGTGACAAACGAAGATCTCCTGACCAACTGCACGCAGCTGCTGTGCAGCAGGCTTCTGTCCCCCATGAACCTGCTCTCGCTGCACACCGCCTCCGGGCTGCACCTCTACTCGGTGCTCAGCCTGGCATGGGGCTTCGTGGCTGACGTGGACCTGGAGAGTGAGAAGTACCGGCGCCTTGGGGAGTTGCGATTCACCATGGGTACTATTTTGCGCCTGGCAACCCTTCGCATCTACCAGGGCCAACTGGCTTACCTTCCAGTAGAAAGCGCTGTCTCCGCGTTACCCGCCGCCTCCAAGCAGGTGCAGCAGCAAGGTCCTGGAGACACACACCTTGTTCCCCTGGAGGAGCCGGTGCCCTCCCACTGGACGGTGGTGCCTGAGCAGGACTTTGTGCTGGTGTTGCTGCTGCTGCACAGCCACCTGGGCAGCGAGTTGTTCACGGCACCCATGGGCCGCTGCGCCGCTGGTGTCATGCACCTGTTCTATGTGCGGGCAGGCGTGTCGAGGACCATGCTGCTGCGTCTCTTCCTGGCCATGCAGAAGGGCAAGCATATGGAGTATAACTGCCCCTACTTGGTGCACGTCCCCGTGGTGGCCTTCCGCCTAGAGCCCAAGAATCATAGCGGTGTGTTTACTGTGGACGGGGAGCTGATGGCCAGTGAGCCTGTGCAGGGCCAGGTGCACCCGGACTACTTCTGGATGGTCAGCGGTTGTGGGGATCCCCAGCAGAGACCATCCCCAAAACAGCCTTTGTGACTTAGGGGTCCCACCATGCCTATGTTAGCCGCAGCTAGTCTGAGACTGGGGTCCTATCCCCTGCCCTGGGAAAGCAGGGCCTGTCTACAGTTCCTGTGGAGGGTAGGGGTAGGGACCTCCTTGCTGGCTGGGCCAGTTGCCTGTGGAGCCCCCCCCCTCAACTCCCATATCAGATATAAATAAAATTAAATTCTCAGCTTGTTGGTCCTGTCCTGGGGTCTGGGGAGAAGTGGGGGGGTCTTAGGCCAGCCCGCAGGGGCTATGGAGTTTGTTAGTGATGCCCCCTGGAGAGCACAAGGCACACAACCGGCGTGGGCACACAGCACAACCTTCTTTTTGTGCTGATAATCAGATCTCCTGTAGCCTGCCCAGAGGTGAGAGCAAGGCTCTGCACTCCTTCCTGCTTCCGACCTTGGGCCACATAGTGTGGAGATGTTGGAGGAAGACTGCCAAGGAGCAAGAGGTCAGTTTTATAGTGGGCGGAGCCTTCTTTTTCCAAGGAGCCTGGCACCCCACGTGGGCTCATCAGGGCTCTGCCTTGGCCCCGGTCTCAGCAGGAGTGCTGGGCAGGACTGAAGGGCTCCGAGATTGGGAGGTGCAGTTGCCAAACTTGAGCAACCATTTTGGCTTGCAGCCTAGAACTGACTGGCACCTGCCACTCCAGTGCTGCGCCATCAGCTCCCCTGGCACTGGAAGGCGCTGAATGGGTCGCTCAGGCCCACAGCTGCCTGGAGGCAGACAGTGCTCTCAACCGGCTCTTGAAGACTGCAAGCCAGGGAGGCCAGTCCCACCACCGTACCAATCCTCACCTCCCAAAGTCCTCCCCTGAGAGCGAACCAAGGCGTTCTGAGAGCTCAGGGGGCAGGACGGCTGCCGCGAGCCCTCCCTGGCAGTAGTGTCTGTAGGGACACACTGGCACGTGAAGAAGGAGGCAACGGAGCCAGGATGAACGGCAGAGCAGGTTTAATGTGTCGCCTTGTCTTGTTAATGAGCCAACCAAAAAAAAATGCAAGTAAAAAAATGTTTAATCACACAGCACTTTATACAGGTATTGTAAGCAGTAGGCATTCCCATCTCCACATGAGCGACGCCCGGGACGCACCAGGTACCCGGATGTTCTCCACACAGACTCTGGGCTGAGTGAGTGCTGGCCGGCGTGCGGTGTGTCCGGCTCGGTCCTTCCCGCGGTTCGGCAGCCTGGGTGGTCCTGGCGCAGCACAGGTGTGGAGCCCACTTAAGGCTGACAAGACGCATCATGCTTTGGCTTTTTTTTTTTTTTGTCTTTTTTTTCTAATAATAGCATCTTTGCTTTTGAGATTTATTTTTTTTCCAACCTTAAATATTACATACATACACCGGAAATGACACAGCTGCAGTGTGCTGGACAGCACCCTCCCAACCTGGGCTTCACATTATCAAAAGCTTAGAAAACTTGTAAACCTCTGGGCCGGGGGGAGGGGAGTCCTGCTGCTGCCGCTCCCTGCCTGCCTCCCTCCCTCCCCCTGGACTGTGCCTGCTAAGTCTGGAAGCAAGGGCCAGGGCCTTCCGGCCCCCCAGAAACAGCCAAGCCACCAATGGGGTGAGGCCCTGTGGTTGCTGCTGCCATCCTGGTGACTGAGAGGAGGCTGGTAGGGAGTAGGTGTGCGCAGTCCGCACTGCGGGCCTAGGCAGACCTGCCCGGGCTCCTCCAGCGGACTGGAAAGAGAAAGGCACCTGCAGCCATCTCTTTCCCAGCAGCTTCCTGTCCTCGACTACCTCTCCGGGTGTCACCCTGAACTAGCCTGGTCCCAAGCTCTCTCAGAGAGTAAGTTCAACAGGCCTAAGGGCTATGACGTGTGGAGGTCACTCCCGCGGGTAGTAGTGTCGATGGTCGGGGCTGGGAGGACCCCGTGGCGGTGGTGGCAGGAGCACCGGGGTGGGGAGGGGAGGCTACAGTCAAGTGAAGAGGTTGGGAGGGACCAGGGCATTGCAGGAGCAGCCCACACTTCATGCAAGGCACATCCACTCTCCTGCCCATGTGCAGGGTCCCTGGGCCCACACAGCCAGCCCTGCGCCAGGCCCAAGCACCCCACCTCTGACCTGAGAAGGGGACAGCAAGGGAGCAGGCGCCGGACATTCGTTGAAGGATCGCTTCAGAACAGAACGCAGCATCTTAGGACACTTCTTGCACTTCAGCATCAAACTCATCTTGGGAGGAGGATCGCAGTAGACAGAGGGCTGGGGACGGGGCGATTCCAGTGGGGGGTGGGGAGGTGAGCAGGCAGCGGCCAGCCTCTCCCACAGTGGCGCTCCTGCTGCGAGAGCCAGTGGCTACTTGTCCTCTGTGCTCTGTGGCATGCCGGCCTCTAGCAGCGCGGCTCGGAACTGCGTCAGGACACCCCGGATGCTCTTGATAAAACCTTTCGAGAGTGGGAACAGGGGGAAGCCGATGTCAGGGTAGCCGCTCTTCTCGGGCAGGAAGCTCCGGTAGCTCTTTCTCCGCTTCTTTGGTTTGACGCTGGGTGGCACCGACGCATCAGGCGCTGTCTCTGAAGTCTGCTCTGTGTGGTCCCTACTAGTTGAGGCCGGGCCCTGGGCGCCACCCTCTGAGTCTGAGCCCTGGGAGGCCTCCCCAGGGGCCAGTCCACCATCCTCGGGGTCTTCACGGCCGGAGTCTGAGAGCTCGGCTGCAGTGGGAGGCTCTGGCGAGCTGCTATCCTTGGGCACCCCATTGGGCAGCGCCTGGGACCTCTCTAGCAGGGTGTGGGTCTCCAGCCAGGACTCAATGCGGTTTATTAGACGCCAACCGCCAGCACTGAAGTGCTGCCGGATCTCCTGCTCGAAGACCTCGGGAGGCCGCCGCACCAGCTGCGTCATGGACTGCACCACGCGGATCAGTGCCATCTCGTTGTAGCAGCGGCTGTTCTCGTAGCCCTCCTGCAGGCCCCGGTCACTGTCGAAGCCGGCTTCGTTGTAGTACGGTTCATTTACCAGGATCAGACCTGTGAGAGGACACCCTTCCTCAGCGGGCAGTGGAAGTCGACCACAACAGGCCTGCCTCCACCTGCAAGGGGCCAGCAAGCCCGCCAGCCCTGCGCCTGCCCCATCGCCACCCGCCAGCCCTGCGCCTGCCCCATCGCCACCCGCCAGCCCTGCGCCTGCCCCATCGCCACCCGCCAGCCCTGCGCCTGCCGCACCTTGGATGGAGATGAGCACCTGGAGAAGGCTGGATTTGCTCGTCCACCTCTCTGTCCCCTGAAACACACACAGCGTCAGCAGGGCTGCCCCACTGCACTGCCCAAGCCCAGCCCCCTTTCTGCCCTGACCGGGCGATGGCGCCGTCTCCCCACCTTTCCAATCCAGGTGCCCAGAAGGCTGACGCACACCTTCCCGTTGTCATACAAGTTCGGGTTGAGCCGGCCACTGCACTGGGAGAGGTAGCAAAAGTGGGGGGGCACGGCCGGGTAGATGTTGGGGAGCTGGATGTCAAATAGGTAGAGGCCATCCTCGTAGGGAGTTCGAGTAGGGCCCTTGATTAGGGCCGAGAAAAGATCCTAGAAGGGAAGGAGAATTGAGGCTGGCATCTGGGGGAGAGCCCCAGCAGTGGAGGTGCCACGTGCCTGTTATCTCTGCACTTGCTTTTAGGAACAAGGGTGTGGTGGTCTCCCAACCAGCAGTTACGGATCTGAGTTCCAGGGCAAAGGCTGAGAGACCACCCAAGTAAAGTGGCTAAGTCCTGAGAGCCAGCCTCTGACTTCTAGGATATATATATGAGTACACACGTCTGTGCAAGTGTGCGCATGTGTGGCGACAGCCAAGGGGTTAACTGTACCCTTATGCACCTGCTACTGACCCCTGCTACTCCCAAGACCTCTGAGATATGGAAAGCAGCATAACAAAACAAAAATATTTCTTTTTCCTCAGCAGGGCTGAGAATTTTCTTTCTCTCTTTTTTGTTGGTCGTGGAGCCTGAACTCTGGGCCTGGGTACTGCCCCTCAGCTCTTCAGCTCAAAGTGAGCGCTCTACCACTTGAGCCACAGCACCACTCCTGGTTTTCTGGAAGTTTATTGGAGACAAGAGTCTCACAGACTTTTCTGCCCGGGCTGGCTTTGAACCACGATCCTCAGATCTCCTGAGTAGTTAGGATTACAGGTGTGAGCCACTGGTGCCCAGCCCAGGCTGGAATTTTCTGAAGGAATCTTACACCTGAGAAACACAAGAGTATCACCAAGAACCTAAGCTGTGCCTATTGGCTGTGCTGCGCAGCTGGCTGTGGGCGGAATGAACTGACTTGCCCTTGGAAGACCCGCACTTGCTTTCCTCTGTGCCTCTCTGCCAGGACAGGGCCAGATTAAGGTCGGCCCTGTGAGCAGGCAGCCAACATGCCCCCCCCCCCCCCCCCAGTCCTCACACTGCCTTCTGAAGAGAGGATTGAGAACTGTCCCAGAAGAGTGAGGAAATGCAATGCAAGTGCAGGTCTCGAGACCATGGGATCAAGTGGAGAAGGCAAGTGTCACGCATGTGATGACATGTACACAAACAAGCACACAAAAACACCGCACGCAATGGTGACTCAGGAGAATATAAAGTCCCAGCAGCCACGACTGCCAGGAGGGAAGAAAGGCCTTGGATTTTCAGGGAAGAGGAGGTGAAGATTGTTCAAAGGCAACATGAACACTAAAGTTCTAATGTTTCAGAAAAAAAGAGCAGACTCTTACTGGGTATAGTACACCTGCAACCACAACTACTTAAGAGGCAAAGGCAGGAGGACCTCAAGTTCCAGGCCAGCCAGGTCTGCAGTTAGAAGGCCAGCTTAGGCGACTTAGGCAGACACTGTCGCAGGACACTGATGTCTCATGCCTGTGATCCTAGCTACTCAGGAAAGTCTGCGAGACAATTATCTCCAATTACCCAGCCCCAAATCTGAAAGTAGAGGGGTGGTTTAAATGGCAGCACACGAGCCACGAGCAAACCATTTTTAAAAATTGAGTTTAGGGCTGGGAAGGTGGCTCAGTGTTAAGAGTGCTTGATTCCTCAGTACCACATACTCAGAAAAAGCCAGAAGTAGCACTGTGGCTCAAGTGGTAGAGGGCTAGCCTTGAGCAAAAGAAGCTCAGGGACAGTGCCCAGGCCCTGAGTTCAAGCTCCAGGACTGGAAAAAAAAAAATTAAGTTTAAGTGCCAGTGGCTCACATTTATAAGACTAGCTACTCAGGAGGCTGAGATATGAGGATTGTAGTTCAAAGCCAGCCCAGGCAAGGACAGTCCATGAGACTCTTATCTCCAATTAACCACCAGAAAACCGAAAGTGGCATTGTGGCTCAAGTGGTAGAGTGCTTGCCTTCAGCTGAGGAGCTCAGGGCCAGAGTTCAAGCCCCACAATGGACTAAATAAATAAATAAATAGTTTTTAAAAGGGCTGGGGATATAGCTCAGTGGTTGAGCACTTGCCTAGCACAGGCCCTGGGTTCAATTTCCAGTTTTTGTTTAAAAAAAAAGAATGAAAGAAAAAGAAAGGAAGGAAGGAAGGAAGCAAGGAAGGAAGGAAGCAAGCAAGCAAGGAAGGCTCTTCAAGTCAGTTTTTACAAGGAGGGAGGAAAGGAAAGGTGTCCGTCCGTGGCTGGGCCCTGGAAGTGGGAGTAGGTGGGTGGTCTCTCAGGTGCTATTCAACTCTGGAGGTTCGGGCACCCAGATGGAGCGCCAATAGTACACCTGCGCCTGTCCACACCCAGCCCCGGCCAGCCACTTGCCATCCTGTCCTCAAAGGTTTTGACCATGATGCCATCGGGCAGTGAGGTAGCCAGCAACGCCATCTCCTTCCGGACCGTGCTGAAGAACTTCTTCGCTTCTGGAGGCTGGAACTCAATTTTCTTGAAAGAGTGATTAGCTGGAGGGGAAAGAGGATAGTCAGTCCCAAACATGGAGGCGCAGAGAGCCGCCTGCACACACAGCTGCTGTCCCAGGATGCATGGCCTTGAGCGCCTCCCATCTACTGCTTCTGGCATCAGGACAGTGACCTGATGGGCCATGGCTGTCCTCCAGGGCAGGAGAGGGGTGGGTGTGACAAGCCACTTGGCCTCCAGAGGTGCTGACACACAGGACTGTAGATGGGGGTGGGGACGGGGGTGGGGGTAGGGGCGGGGCGGGGCGGGGCGGGGCTGACTCACAGGGTGCAAACTCCAGCACTGAGAAGACCTCGCCCTTGGCGCTGGTGAAGGTGACACCGGGCTTGCCGCCACACTGCTGGCAGAGCACAGGGGTCTCGCTGGGCCACTCGGCCTTCACCGGAGACTGTCTCTCGGGCTTGTCCTCCTTGCGCTCTGTGTCAGGCACGGCCTCCATCTTCTCCTCCTCTGCGATAGCCACGTTGTCCAGCGTCTTCTTGAGGTTCTCCTGTAGCTTCTTGATATCATCCAGAAACTTCTTCTCGCGGGTTGGCTTTTCGGGCTCCACGGTGGGGGAGGTGGGGGAGCCCGTCAGCAGCTGTTCCACCGTCATGTTCTTGAGGCTCTCCAAGATCTTGATGGCCTCTTTCAGCTCCCGGAAACTCTTGGGCGGCCCGTCCTTTCCAGCCTTCTCCATCAGCCCTGCCATGGGCCCCGCCATGGCCACCGCCCCTTGGATGGCAGCGGTGGCAGCTTCTTCGCTGATGACCACCCCCTTGTCCTCCTCAGGGACCACAGGCTGCTCGGCGGCCGGGAGGGGGGGCTCTTCTATCTTGGGGTGCTCATCTTCCACCAGGCCGTTGTCCGTCTCCCAACTGTCGCTGTCGTCCTCCCACTCATCCGAGGACGCCCCGCTGGTACTGCCTTCTACCGAGTCATAGTCAGACTCCTCAATCTCTGACTCGATGTTGTACAAGTGCTGGGGCAGAAAGGAGGGTGAGGGAAGTGCAGACGGAACCCTGTCCACTAGGGGGAGCTCGGGAGTCACTGGCCTTCCAGCTAATGGTGACTCTCAGGGGCTCTGGTGGCCTTATTCTACCCTCCCCTTTTCTGTTCTTAACTCCGCAGCCAGGTCTTTGGGATGCCGCCTCCTCCCTGGACACCTCTTCCCCTGACCTATCTCAGCTTTCCTAGGCGACGCTGGTAGTAAATCTCCATCTCCTAGGAAGGAACCTGTACTTCCTCAGCCCAGGACAGCCGGCATTCCAGGCTCAGTAGGCAAAGGCCAGAGAGAGCCACCCTCACTCAGGGATGGAGCTGGACCAGTGCTCCTGCACTCGGGACGTAGGGACCATAGCTCTGAGCTCAGTGGTCGGGTCTGGCCAGTCTTACCTGGGGCAGGATGATGGTCTTTGAGTTGTCAGCCCACACTACCTCCACCTTGCTGCTGACGTCCACTCGGGCCACTTGGCCCACTGACGGCTGTCAAGCAAAGGGGAGAGAGTCAGGGGCAGCTGTCTGAGAGAGGGGAGGAGAAAAGCACCTTTGAAGGAGCTCCAGCTGTGGAGCTGGGGATGAGGCTGGACTGAGGGATACTGTCACCTGCAGGTTATTCAGGTGTTCAAGAACCCGCTCCTCTGCCCGACACTGAGTGCCAAACACATTCTTCACAAGCACCCGCTAATCGGGGTACTGTTCGAGCTTCTGTGTCACACCCTTCCACTACAGGGCTTCCTGTCTTTTGCTTGTCTACTGCCTGGAATCTGCTCTGAGCCCTCACAAAGCTCCCGCCTCTTCTTTGAAGGCCCAGCTCAAGCCCCCACTCCTAAGCCTTTCCCGGAAGCCTTTCTTCCCAAGTCTGCTTGGAAGTCAAGAACAGTACCTGACCACGGTGTGACTGTGTGCTCTCCCCCACGGGCTCGTGATGAAGCTGAGCTCCTCCAAGAATCCTAACCAGCAGGGGAGTGCTAGCCTGGCATGCATGAAGCCCCGTACCATTAAACAGAAAAAGCCCAAAGTGGTGCTGTGACTCAAGAGGTTCTACTGCCTGAGCTAGCCAAGCCCCAGGACTGGCCAAAAAAAAAAAAAAAGGAAGTCTGAACACTGCAGGCTGCCTGGGCCCTGAGGCCAGAGGACTGGCAGGTCTTATCTCCTAGAGCCACCTGGTGGCACTACCAGGCTCTGCAGCTGCTTCCAGACACTGGGGGTGTACCTCATCTTCCTTGGGTGGAGCCCCATCCTCAGTGTTGCCAATGCGAATGACAATATCAGTTGTGCGGAATCGAAAGTCAGGGTGGTCAGCGATGTCATAAACGCTCACATCCTCCTCTTCTCCAATGAGCTGTGGCACAAGATGGGCTGTCATGAGCCGGAGGCAGCCATCCACCCCCAGAGCCCAGCTGAAGAAAGCAAGGGCTCCACTCACCTCCACATCATCCCCGCTAGGCCGCAGCTTGAACCATTTCACCATGCAGGTGCGGCCGATATGGTCCCCAGACTGCACCACTCCATAGACGGCAGGATCCGGGCAGCTCTGGACTAGAGCAGCAGCGGGGACAAGACTGGCTTAGGAGCCCTCTTGGAACCAGCCTGCCACCCATCTCATCAACTCACACAGGCCTCTCTCAATCCGTCAACGGGTCCTTCCTGACCCAGTGACCCGAGTTCCCCAGCCCGGCTTCCCCCAGGCCAGCACTACCTCGCTTATCCACCACGAAGTCTCCGGGGCAGAACTCATTGTTGTCCAAGTGGTGTACTGGGAAGAGGTCGTTGGAGCGAATGTTGCACTCCACAGAGCCGTCCTGCCACATCACATCAGCCGAGGTCATCGTGGTCACCACCTCGACCGCCACCCTGCCAGGGGCACACGGAGAGCCAACCATGCCAAAGTGCTCCGAGGAAAGGGCTCTTGCCTCCTCATGGTGTCTGGAGCCTGCAAAGCTTACTCAAAGTGCCACGCTCTGAGGATGGGGCCCAGGCCTTAAGCAAATGTGGTCCCAAAAGGCCAGGCTCGAGGCCAATGCCACCATTCTACCCGCAAACCTTTCCTGCCCACTGGGCACTGCATGCTGCCCGGAGCGGGGCGGTGGGGGGCACCGGAGAGGTTACAAGGCTCACAGACCAATGAGCTGCTGACACACATGTCAGCCAGGACATGGGCTCTGGTGAGTCCAGGCGGGAGGCTGGGAAGAGCACACTTACCTGTCTCCTGGCTTGAAGTCACGAGTGATTTTATTCTTCTTCCTTTTATGTTTTCGCTTCAGGTTCTTGATGGACAAGGGAATGCTCTTTTTGCGGCTTGCGCCGCTGCCGCTCTGGGAGGACGTGGTGGAGCTGGCGGAGGAGGTCACGGAGCTGCTGTCGTCGGTGTCGTCTGCGGCCTCGTCGTCTGCATCCTGCTCTGTTGAGGGTAGCCCGTCATCTCCACCCTCCTTCAGCAAGAAGGGGGGCAGCGGCTCGCCCGCCTCATGGATCTCCTCGGGAATCTCAACTTGAATCTCAGCTGGGCTGGCTGAGCTGTCGGGCAGCTCCTCAGGGCTCGCGGGCCCTTTCTCTGTCTTGGCATTGGCTTCCCTTTTCTTGCCCGGGTCCTCCGTGGCATGGTCCCTGGAACACTGGGTGTCCGGGGAGCAAGACATGATCCTCACAACCTGCCTCTTCAGTAGGCGCTTCACCTGCAAGGGTCAAACAGGGGTCAGGGGGCTGCGGGGCACAACAGTTAGTCAGGCCTCACACCTTGGGTTGCCTAGGCTCCAGGCATCAGTCTGGGGGATTTAAAGTATACACACCTAAGCAGCCGGCAAGGGGGTCCTCAAGATTGGCACCCCCCCAGGCTTACAGCACAGACTGTTCCTTTCCTGGCCATGGAAATGGCTCAAGGCCAGTTCCTCAAATGCCCACCAACTCCCAACTCCAAGGACATACCTTCTTGGCCATAGAGCCCTCCCCCTGGGCGCAGTTTTTTTCTGGACATTCCCAGGCAATCTTGGCCGGCTCTACCTTGGCTGGGAAGACATACAGACAGCGTTCCCCCAGCTGCCGCTGAGCATGGTCAAAGCATCCGAGACGCTTCACCCTGTGGGGAGAAGCAAGGTGGGCTGACTTCGCACAGGTCAGCGGGCTCTTGGCCCTCTTGGTACATCTATGGCTGGGGCCCAGGGGTGCTCCCCAGATGTGGCCCTGGCGATGGCCACACGCTTACCTGCCTAGGTTTTCCTGGGTGATGACTGAGGGTGGGGGGCTGACGCTGTCTGTGCCCCCTGGACAGAAACTCTTGGTAATCCATGTGACTTTCAGCTCCACAACTTGCACCTGGGGACAGCAGGGCAGGGGCACCTTGAGGAGGGCAGGCTCCAGCAGTCCTCTCCTAACCAGCTGCCCAGAGGCCTCCCGCCCCACCCCTGCGACCTCCGGAGCGGGGAGCAGAGCTTCATGGCGCAGCAGCCCCTGTGCACACACACTGCAGCGCCAGGGGCCACCTGTTATCCGCCCCAGCTCAGTCTGTGCAGGACAGGTGGAAGGACATCTGTCAGCCACTCCATAAACAGAGCGTGGCGGGGGGTGGGGGGGTCCCTTAACCCTCTGGCACTCTTTCAAATGACAGGGTGCGGTGCTGGGGAGCATGCTGATCCCTACCTCCTCCACCACCACTCGGAACTTGCTCTTGGTGCTGAGCACTGGCTTGACCCCTGACAGCCATTGCACACTGGAGAAGATCTTGGCAGGCCCAATGAGCACCTGGCCTGGGTAGAAGCCGTAGGAATCATCGAAGAAGAGACCCTGCGGAGTTTAAATCCTTGTGAGTGACTTCTGTGGCCCAACCTTCCCCGCCAGGCCAAGTACGGAAACCCACCCCCAATGGCCTCTGCCTCGCTCTGCACATGGCCAGCACAAGGCACAACTGAGATGCTGAAATGAGGCTGCAGACTCTAACAAGCTGTCACACAGCATCAGTGTGTCTGCTCAGAGGTTCCACTCTCTGGAGAGCAGCAGTCTCCAGTACAAATTGGGTCCAGAGAGTATTGTGCCAGCGTGTTCTATGGACTAAGTTCCTCTATGTGAAAGCGCAAGATGAACTAGCACCAATAGAATGAGAGCTCTGATGCTCTGGGCCCACACTTGTACCTCAACTACTCTGGTGCCTAACACTTCTTTCCTAGGAACCCATTTTGCTCAGCCCAGGCCACCTCAGAGCTCTCGGATTAGAAGTCCTTCCTATGAAGCTAGAGCATACATACTGAGTCACTGACATGTGGGCAGACATCGTAGAGCTTGGCGCCATCTTCTGTGTTCATGGAGCACCTGAAACCGAAACAGAGGCTTGGTCTACACTGGGGCCCAATGTGCACCCAACTGTGATGAGCAGAGGACCAAGATGGCACTACCTACCTGCCGCTGTGCTGGAGTAAGCCACTGAGCCCTGTCTGAGAGCCCACTAGAGCACCAGCCCCTAACAGACACCTACATGAAGACATTTCACCAAGCCAAGATAGACTAGAAACCGAGTAAGAGAATTAGGCTAGAGGAGATAAGCAAACCAGACCAGGGTTAGGCTCTGGATGACTACAGTATCTGTCATGGGATCAAACCTGTCCTCACAGGCCCAGTGAGCAAACGCCTTCGGCCTGCCTTTCACCAAGCTGTCCTTCTTGGGCTGATGGTTCCTGGGAAGTGAGATGCCTACCTGGCACCATTGGATAGCTTCAGGATGATCTGGTTCTTCAAGTCATAGACCTTCCCTAGCCAGCAGTCATAGGCAATGTAGTCCCCATACATAAAGGGCTGCAGACAAAGCACAAGGGCAGTGAGAGAGCTAACACTGTCTGTGCTCAGGGCACGGGGACATCTTTGCCCCACAAAGACAGAGGAGAAAGGCTCTGAACAGCTTGTTTGGCTGTCCACTACTGGACTCAAACAAATGCTAGAGCAAGCCCCCTGTACCCCCTTGGGATACAGCCTAGGACTGCATCCCATGCCCCTTTCAAGTGAGGAGGTAGGCATGTGAGGAGGTTTGGGGTGGGGGTGGGGGGGAGCGACACGTGCTGCAGAGTCTCCCAGAGGCAGAGGAGATAGCAGCACGTAGTTGGGAGGTGAGCTATGTGGACAAATAAACAGTCAACTGAGAACTGAATTGGAAGTGGTTTCTCAGAGTACAGAAGGTACCCAGCAACAGAAAGGTCAGGGGTTCCACCGGAATTGGGGGTGTCAGGCTGACCATGATCTTCATGCACACGTAGACCAGCTACTGACTAAATGCCTGGCACGTGCACATACATCACACACCTATGTAATGGTCCTAGTATGAGCCTAAGAAGCCTAGTCATGCCCAAGTGTCCTGAACTTGCTTTCTTTTATTTTGTGGTCTTGGAGATCAAACCTAGGGCTTGATGTCTACACTGCACATGTTCTACTACTGGGCTCTGACATCTTAATTTTTGGGTTGGTCATGGAGCTTGAACTCAGGGCCTGGACGCTGTCCCTGAGCTCTTCTGCTCAAGGCCAGTGCTCTACCACTTTGAGCCACAGTTCCACTTCCATCTTTTTGGTGGTTAATTGTAGATAAGCAGCTCATAGGCTTTCCTGCCCAGGCTGGCTTTGAACCATGGTAATCAGATCTCAGCCTCCTGAGTAGTTAGGATTACAGGTGTGAACCACAAGCACCCGGCTGAGATCTTAGATTTTATTTTTTATTTAATTTTTTTATTGTAAAGATATTGTACAGAGGGGTTACAGTTACATGAAAGGTAATGAGGAAATTTCCTCTTGAGCATTGTTACCCCTTTTCAACATAGTGTCTTACATGAGATTTTAGTTTTGTGTTTTTTAGTTTTTAACATGCCATTCTCCTATGAAATGTGACCAGTTCTGGGACTGGATCAGAAAAAAAGTACAAGATGACATGAAATGTCTCACTGTAACAAAAAAAGGTTGGGAGGGACATGCAAAACCACAAAAGCCAGCAGGAAGGGGCTCCTGCTGGCTGTGCTGGGGGAGGGGGTTTTGTGGGAGGATGTCCTCCTTTCTGGAAAACATTGTCTTGCTTAGGGATGATGGGACATTGTACCTGCAGCTTACTATTAGATGGTTCAGGAAAAGAAGAGCAGAGTGAAGGTGCCTAGCAAAGGAGGGAGGAGGAGGGAGGGAAGTTATGGTCAAATGGAGAGAAATGGTAGCCGCTGAGATGAGGAATTTCTAACTTTTGAAATAATTTTAAAATTATTAAAGAAAAGCCTTTAAAAGGAAAAGTTATAGGAGAAAGGGAGACAATTGAGGACAGCTACACTTGAGACATGAGCCTGAGCTGGATGAGGAAGGGCACATCCTGACCTTGTGTGGAAATGCATCATTCACAAGGGCAACAGGGAGAGTGCCGAGAGCAAGCCTGCCCAGGTGGTCCAGGAGGGCCAAGCACTGGAGTCACATGCCAGCCCTGAGAGCAGGGAGGAGAGGCTCTCACCCAGATGTGCTGGAGGTCCTTGCTGTTGACAGGGTAGATGATGCAGTTTGTGCCGATGAGCTTGACAGCGCAGTCAATGTTGACATCAATCACCGTGCCACACTGGCTGTCCTGGGGATGGAAGATAGCGTCCAGGCAAAGCCACCTCATCCAGTGGCCCCCCTCCCTACACCTCCCTGAGCCCAGCAGTTCCCTGCATACAAAGTGCAGGGGCCTGGCTAGAACTCACCGAGGAACGCATATGCCGGACCACGTCCCGGGGCACCACGGAGCGGTCCTCTAGTTTCAGCTGCAAAAGGAAATGCAGGGTGACAGGAAGTGTCGGCAGCCACTACAGAATGTATTTTTCTTCCAACTTTTTTTTTTTTTTGGTGGTGGGGCTTGAACTCTGGGCCTGGGCGCTGTCCCTCAGCTATTCAGCTCAAAACTAGCACTCTACCACTTGAGCAACAGGGCCACTCCCGGTTTCTGGTGGTTCACTGGGGAAAAGAGTCTCATGGACATTCCTGCCTGGCTGGTTTGAACCGAGATCCTCAGATCTCAGCCTCTGGAGTAGCTAGGATTATAGGCGTGAGCCACTGGCGCCCAGCTCCAACTTCTAAGTGTCATCCATACTACCAAGTGCACAAGCACTAAGTGTTTGGCTCAAAGCATTTTCAAAAACTGCGTAGATGCAGGGCGCCAGTGGCGCACACCTGTAATCCTAGCTGTTCAGGAAGCTGCAATCCGAGGATTACCGTGCAAAGCCAGCTCATTCAGGAAAGTCCACAAGTGTCACTGTGGCTCAAAGTGGTAGAGTGCTAGCCTTGAGCAAAAAAGCTCAGGGACAGTGTCCAGGCCCTGAGTTTAAGCCTCATAACCAACCAAAATAGTAATAAATAATAATAATAATAATAATAATTGCGCACACTACCTCCCTAGTATGTAGAACCAGAGACAGAATGTGTGCCTCCTAGTGTCCCTGAAGTCCCTGACTCTAGACTCCTGGAGGTATCATGAGCATGAGAAGTACTGTTGGGTGACAGATGACAAGGCTTAACACAGCTCATCCTCATAGGACATTTTGTTGTAAGTTAAATCCTTTTCTACACTGTGTAAGTGCCTGTCCTTTGACCCCAACTGATCAGCCCTGAGGAGTTGGTGGGGAATGAGCAGGACACTAGGCTGTGCTGGGTCACCCTGAAGCCCAGCTATCAACCCACAGACACCTCCTGCTAATCTGGGTTATCCCTGCTCCCAGTGCAGCCGGCTCCTTATCTACAGTGCTGCAGAGCACTGCGGCTGCTGAGTAAGTCTCAGGATAGTGCCAAGGGAAAGGCATCTGACCTGTCCCTCCATGAACCCCCTCCTCCTGCCAGGCTGTGCCCCTCCCCCCAGTACAGGCAGGGGCTAGTTTACAGCCAGGTCAGCCTGGGTTCCTGAACCTGGGCTGCTCCACGGTAGCTCTTTACTGAGCAAGAGCAGTGGGTAGGTGTCAGCAAACTGCCCACTGCTGTATCCAACACCCCATACCATGGCCTCAAACTCCAGCCAGCCTGACAGTCCTCAGCAATTGGCTCTGCTCACAATCCCTGGGGCAGGGTGACCACAAGAACAGAGGGAGAATGCTGAAAGGGGAAGAAGCTGGTTTAAGTTCCCCGAAATCTTAGCTATGACAACTAAAACACCTCTGTGGGTAGGATGTGACTTAACAACAAAGGGAAGCACCGTCCGGCCATCAACCAGCAGCGTAGAAATCCCCACGGGCCTGGCCCACAGGACAACACCCTCGTGGTTCATCAAGGCGGTTAAGCTGCTGCTCTGATCTCTGCACGCACACAAGGTGGCTCTAGTGGAATCCATCAGCCCATGGTGGACTTCTCCATCCTACTGCCCCGAGAGAGGCCAAGCTGGCCCACCTCTGCTCTGGGTGGTGAGGGGCTGCTGGGATGCCAGTGCCCTTATCTGATCCCAAAGAGCATTCTAGGCGAACCACTGGGCACCAGATCCCTGCTCCGGAACCTGTGTTTGCTGTGCTCCCTTAACCTTTTTCAGCCCCTTCCTCAGTTCAGACTTCAGTAAGCCCCTAATGGGGACGCTAAGCTGCTACAGGAATCAGATGCTGTTGTGTCGGAAATCCAAAACAAGTAGGGCCATGAGAAAACCATCGGCAGACTATGTCCTTGGTGGAGATGTGGGGCTTATCAGGCCCAAGAACATGGCCAGGGAAAGGAGAGCAGCTGAGTAGGCCGCTCAGTTGTGAGGCCTGGGGGCAGATGGAGCCATGTTCTAGGAAAGTCTTGGCCTGTCTGTGTGGTCCTATGTCTACAGTGTGACTCTTGGCCAGCTAGGAGCTGTCTTCAGGGCTCTTCTAATCTTTCCATGATAAGAAGTCCATTTCTCTAGGGCCCTGTCAGTACTGGAGACAGGGTGGAGATAATGTCAGAGAGAGGAATGAGGGCCACCATGCTGACTAGACTCCTCTCCTTTGGGAATATCTGAAAGGATGACAGGCAAGTAATGTCTCCATCGTCCTTCCTGGCGTTTCCTCCTTCCTGACTCCCTTTCTCCAAACACTCCTGTGTGCTGCTGCCCTGCACAGAACTTCCCAATGTCTTCTTCTCACCCCTACATGTGCTTTCCTGCTTGCTGGAGCCTTTATGACCCCACTGTGGAAGATATGCTGTGCTTCAGGGGATGAGGAAGTCTCCTCTGCCCTTAGCAGCAACATAAGCCAGCTCAGTACATGTTAGCAGTTTTCTAAGCACCTGCAGGATGACCCATATTATTAACATCAAGACTGTCATCTCCATCTTACAGATAAGTACACAGAGACAAAGAGAAAGCAAGTAACTTGCTCAGGGTGGCATAGCCTGTAGAGATAGAGCCTGTACTCGAAATCAGTATAGCCTGAGTTTTTTCTCTCTCTCTCCCCGTGCTGTTATTAGGGCTTGAACTCAGGGCCTGGGTGATATCCCTGAGCTTTTGTGCTCAAGCTAATATCTACTACTTTGAGCCACAGCTCCATTTCCAGATTTTTGGTAGTTAACTGGAGATAACAATCTCATGGAATTTCCTGTCCAGAATGGCTCTGAGCTTCAATCATTAGATCTCAGCTTCCTAAGTAGCTAGGATTGCAGGTGTGAACGACTGGTGCCCAGCTAGAGTCCTTTCTTTAACCACATAAGAACCTCTTTCCTCTCCAGAGCTAGAGACAGCAACAGCGAAAAACATATTTCTCGCAAATCTATACATTCCAAAGACAGAGTCTTCTGGTTATAAAAGTAACAAATGCTTCTGCTATGTTTGGAAGGCAGTTGTGGAGGCTTCTGGCTGAGATTGTCAGTAGGACCCTAAGCTGTTTGCCTTCCGCATTCTCTGCCTTCCTAAAACATCAGGTATCCAACATTGTAACTGCCAGACAGTGCTGGGAGGTGAACGCAAGGGGCACTACATCTGCTCTAGAAAAATCAAGATTCAGGGCTGGGAAGGTGGCTCAGTGGTAGAGTGCTTGCCTTGCATGCATGAGGCCCTGGGTTCGATTCCTCAGCACCACGTAAGCAAAAAGAAAAAGCCGGAAGTGGTGCTATGGCTCAAGTGGTAGAGCACTAGCCTTGAGCTGAAGAGCTGAGGGACAGCGCCCAGGCCCAGAGTTCAGGCCCCACGACTGGACCCTCCCCCCCCCCCCAAAAAAAAAAAGAAAAATCAAGATTCAAAAGCAAAACTAAGGACTAAGGCTCTGAAACAAAACTGCATCCTTACTGCTTCTCTAAACCACTGCCAGTAGTATTAAGAGCTGAACTGAGGCATGGGTATACTAAGCAATCAAATTTCAAAACAGGAAGAGCACAATGACGATAACTGCAAAACTAAATGGTGGCTCTCTGTGGGTAGGAGTCATAGGAGGTTGGAAATAAACATGGATTACTTTGTGGGACTCAGGGCCACAATCTCTGTGGCTTCCTCTGGAAATAGGACATCCTGGCCCCAGACGCGTCTTCTGCGTGGCCCAGTCTTCACATGCCAAGCTCTGGAGAGACTGGGTTCTGTCTGCTAAGCCCCACTCCAGGGCAGTGGGAGAAGCAGATAGACACATGTTTGGGTGGTATTGTATAACTACACTGGATACACTCCAAAGGCAGCACTAAGGAGCTTGAGAGGCAGGCAACCAAATGGCTGCAGATGGGTGGCGAAACCCCCCTGGAGAAGCCAAGTCTGTAGGGTGGTGGGTCCCTCCTGTCCTAGCCCTATTTGAACCACAGGAGTTCACTCAAGGTCCTGCTAGGAGGACTGCCACTTCCTGAGGCCCATGCTGCTTTTCTGACACTCATTCATGTAACACTGACCTTGGCTGCAAAGTAGAATTGAAATTCAGTGCAAAAAACAAAACAAAACAAGTTCTAAGAATAGAAAAGGCGAACCAAAGCTGATTAACAGGTTGAAAATAGAAGGAAGCTTCAACAAATGATACTTGCAATTGGTTTGACCTGGCATCCCTGCAGGGGTGGTGGCCCAAGGGCTGGCTGCTCAGAGGAGGGGAAGAGGTGGCTGACCCTGTCATTAGCACCAACACCTGGAACACTCGTTAAAAGGGGGAGCTGTGGAACAGCCACAGGAGGCTTTGGTGAGGCCTAAATACACATTTCAGGAACTGAAGCCACCAATGGCACCATGGTCCATTCTGTCAATACCATAGGAGGCCACAGGGAGAAAAAAGTTAGTATCTTTCAGTCTCAGAGGAAGGTAACCACCTCTCTCTTGGGGTCAGTGGCATTACCCACATCAGATCTTCAACTCACACCAACAGCCAGCACAGGCCAGATACCTACAGAGGTTTAATGCACAAGGACAAGCTGCCTGCAGCCCCACGCTGTGTCCCTGGTGAGTGAGTAGAAAAACAGAAGCAATTTATGAGGCCCCTGGTTTAAATCTATGTTTACAGAAGAAAGCTTGCCTTCCCCGAGTAGAGCCAGAGCTTAGAACTCAAGAAGCCCAGTGGGCATACCGGGACGATCCCTACAAAGAGGGAATCCAGCATGGGGCATCTCTAATCCGAACTTGTGCTTTCCAAGGGCTAGAAACAACCTGAGAAATGACCCTACCTACCATTCTGAGCCAGGCTGAGTCTGGAAATGCAAAGTAAAATAAGGCAGAGGGGCAAATGGGGACATGGGGCCTCCTGACCCGACCCCCTGGGAGCTCTGCACCCAGACCAGCCCCTCTCACTCCCCTCCTGTCCTGGTGGAAGCTGCAGACACTGAAGGCCACTCCGGTCCGAGGCTCTGGGGTTTAAAGGATCTGGCTGTACTG